ACCTTAAGCAGGAAAGCCTGCTGGAATGACTTTGGGCCATTCACCAGGAGACAATGAGTTCTAGTCCCTCCTTAGGCAGGAGAGCCAGTTGGGGACTTTGGGCCAGTCACCAGGAGACTGTGAGTTCTAGTTCTGCCTTAGCCATGAAAGCCAGTTTGCGTGACTTTGGGCCTCTCCAGGAGACAGGAAGTTCTAGTTCTACCTTAAGCAGGAAAGCTGGCTGGATGACTTTGGGCTAATCACCAGGAGACGGTGAATTCTAATCCTGCCATAGTCATAAAAGCAGGCTGGGTGACTTTAGGCCAATCACTAGGAGACAGTGAGTTCTAGTCCCACTTTAGGCATAAAAGCCAGCTGGATGACCTTGGGCCAGTCACTTTCTTTCAAGCAACTTCCCTCAACAGGGTCGTTGTAGTAGGGGGGAAAAAAATAAGAGGAGAAAAGTATATTACATTCATTCACCGCCTTGAATTATTTGTAAAAATAAATTATTGGTAATCATAAACTTGGGATACAAATAAATCAATCAAATTTAGCTTAATAAGCTGTCAGTCCTCAAAGCCAACTAGCCACCTTCATTCTTCAGTCTTGCGTTGTGTAGCATTGGTTTGAGCAGGCAGCTCGGCAGGTGTAAGATGCCACTCTTCACCCTCGCTGGACAGAGTGACCGCACGGATCTGAATTTTGCCCTCTGGACTTTTCCGATACCCGAAACACCCGACGGCATCGATTTTGGAAGCCCTCATCTGCTAATCAGTCGGTTGATTGATCGGTGAAGGAACTGGCCATCTGTCCCACTGTATTTAATGAAGCGTCTTCACATCCCAGATAGGAAATAATTGGATTGACAGACACCCACAAGTCCCTCATAAGTGTGTTTGTTAACTGATTAGAGGAGGGGGCCGTGGGGAGGGGGGAGAGCTGGGGGAGCAGCAGGGAAGGGAGTTGAAGGTGTTAATTGAGTTGATCCTATCATGTTTGACATTGAAGGCTTGCATGGGAAACGGTGGAGATATTTACCATTTTGGATTCCCCTGAGACAGCTGTTCTTTTGAAGGCAGCAGGGGAAGTTAGAGTAGCACGTGGATTATTATTGGGTCAATCAGCGGGAGATGGGGAGTTCTAGTTCCGCTGTAAGCATGCAAGTTGGCTGGGGCATTTTAGGCCAATCACCAGGAGACAGTGAGTCCTAGTCCTGTCTTAGGCATGAAAGCTGACTGGGAGACTTCAGGGCAATTACCAGGCGACAAAAGAGTTCTAGTCCTGCTTTAGGCATGAAAGCCGGCCGGGTAACTTTGGTTCCATTACCAGGTGATAGTGAGTTCTAGTTTCCCCTTAGGCAGGAAAGTTGGCTGGGTGACTTTGGGCCAATCACCAGGAGACGGTGAGTTCTAGTCCCGCCTTAGGCATGAAAGCGGACTGGGTAACTTTGGGCCAATCACCAGGAGACGGTGAGTTCTAGTCCCTCTTTAGGCATGAAAGCGGACTGGGTAACTTTGGGCCAATCACCAGGAGATGGTGAGTTCTAGTCCCGCCTTAGGCATGAAAGCGGACTGGGTAACTTTGGGCCAATCACCAGGAGACGGTGAGTTCTAGTCCCTCTTTAGGCATGAAAGTGGACTGGGTAACTTTGGGCCAATCACCAGGAGATGGTGAGTTCTAGTCCCGCCTTAGGCATGAAAGTGGACTGGGTAACTTTGGGCCAATCACTAGGAGATGGTGACTTCTAGTCCTGCCTTAAGCACTGAAAGCCACGGTGTGACTTTGGGCCAATCACCAGGAGACTGTGAGTTCTAGTCCCACTTTAGGCATGAAAGCCGCCAGGGTGACTTTGGGCCAGTTATCAGGCAACTGTGAATTCTAGTTTCCCCTTAGGCAGGAAAGCTGGCTGGGAGACTTTGGCCCCATTACCAGGCGATTGTGAGTTCTAGTTTCCCCTTAGGAAGGAAAATTGGCTGGGTGACTTTGGACTAATCACCAGGAGACAGTGAATTCTAGTCCTACTTTTAGGCGTGAAACCCAACTGAGCGATTTGTAGCAATAATATTTGTCGTGTTGAATTGGGACCATGAGAGTCATTAAATCTAATGTATTAAAATGGAGTTTTCCAACAGATTTGCTTACTCTGGGAGAACATACTTTGAAGGCCCCATGATCAATATTGATACCTGAAGTATAGTATGAACACTCTTTGGAGTCAACAAATGTAGGAGTCCCTCCCTCCATTAAAATGCCAGCTTGGAATACACAGGAATATCATGGAGGTGTTCCTGAACGAACTGCTCTGTTGAAGGCTCTTCAAAGGCACTTCAGGGCTTGATTGTATTGATAGCGGAGAATATTTGTAGCTCAGGGTTGAACTGCGGCATCCTTGGTGCTCTCTGAGCTTGGTTGGTTCCTTCAGGCATTTTATTACCCATCTAGGCAACACTATCAGTGTGAGGGAGGGTAGGGTTTGCCATTCCCACTGATGATGTTATGTAACTTTGAACGGTTGTTAGGAATATAAGTCACCTAACAGGTATTTGGGTTAGAAATATATAAACCAGGATAAACATTTTAGTACTATATCTTTAAGGGAATGCAAGAGCATGCAATTGGGTGTGGTTTCTCAAACAGCCATAAGATGGAGCCAGAAACCTGGATTGTCTTAGTCTTAGTCTCAGAAGAGACTGTGTCTGAGTGAGTATCTCTGTTTCCTTCTGTTGGAAAGTATTGCCGTTGCTCCATTTCTTCTAATTGACTGATATTACTGGATTTAATGTAAGTCTGATACTGAACTGTTTTTTGACACTGGACTTTGATATTTGGATTATCCCTGGATTGAAAAACTGACTGATTTACCTGTGAATGACTTTTGGACTGCTTATCTTGAACTTTGCTTAAACTGTCTGGAAGTAAAAACCTACATTTACTGTACAGTATATCTGTGTACTGTGTGTGTATTATTCAAACACGACTCTCAAATACGTCTCCCTGTATGCGCTTATTCTCCTAACGGGGAATTACCTCAACAACGGTCACTAAATGAATCATTGTAAGTCAAGGACCACCTGTATATGACAAACAGTTTGCATTTCGAAGAAACTCTTGTGATCTTAAGCAGCTGGGTTTACTCGCCATTCTCCGTCTTGACCTAGAATCACGTTTTTTACATTGTTCCCCAGACTCTGTTTTATTTTTGTGGGCTGTGATGTTTTATTGTTGTTAATAATGAGATTGTCAAAGCGGGGGAGGGGGGAAACTCTTGTTAGAGATTGGGCTGAAAAGATAAACGGGTTCCCCCAGCAATTGTTGCCTTGATACATAATCCTGTGATTGCCAAATTAATTCTACTGCATTCTTTTCAAAGAGCTCCTGGAAATGCTGTTCAGATTTTCTTGATCCTACAAAAACATTTTTCAATTATGAAAATTGTTTTCATAAGATTGCTGGGTCCTTCAACTCCTCCATTGCCAACTAAGCCTTTGTTCTGAGCCAGCTCCCCAAATACGGCAAACCCTCTGAAGTGAACTCAAAAGATTCCTTTATTAGGAAGGCCGGCAGCCTGGGCGAAAAGTTTCTCTCTCACCCCAGGCTAACAAGTCCATCCGGCAGGGAGATGAATAGTTGTCTGTCACATCTATTCGTCTCCATCCCCTGCCTTTTATCCCCAGAGCTAGAGTGGGGCTTCGCTAGTAGCGGTGGCTCTTCCATTCCAGGGACCGGCCCATAGATTTCCACTGCTCTCCTCTCCTCGGCAAAAAGTTTCTCTCACCGCAGGCTAACAAGTCCATCTGGCAGGGAGATGAATAGTTGTCTGTCACATCTATTCATCTCCGTCCCCTGCCTTTTATCCCCAGAGCTCAGGTGGGGCTTCACGAGCAGCGGTGGCTCTTCTGTCCCAAGGACCGGCTTGTAGATTTCCACTGCTCTCCTCCCCTCTGCCTTCTGCGCATCCACGCCTCAGGCACTGGACCCAGCTGTTCCTCCTCTTCCTCATCAGCCACCTCCAGACCTGGGGGCTGTTGATTCTCCATCTGAGGGCTGACGGATGCCCCAGGCTCCACCTCTCTCTCTCTCTGCCAGCTCCACTCCCTCTTCCCCCTCGGAGCTCCCAGGCTGCTGACCCTGACTCCCACGCCTCCTCCTCTTCCTTCTCCTCTGATTCGGCTGCTGGCAACAGCCTTCTCAACACATGCTTTAATTGGACACGAGATCAAACAGATTCAGATGGGTTTCTGCTGGATACGGACCATATTCAAGGTTCAGATACTCCTCGACATAACGACCATTCGTTTTGTGACCATTCAAAGTTACGACAGCACTGAAAAATATGACTTATCACAGCAAGGCAGAGGAACAAGGGGAGCCTGTTCCCAGGTCGCGTGTGCACAGAGCCGCTAGAGAGCAAGAGCAGCTGAGACAAAAGGGGCGACTCGAGAGTAAGGCTGGGAGTTGATTGCCCCTCCCATAAGGGATAAAAGTAAGGCAAAGATGACGAAGCTTTTGCAGGAAGCAAAGTCGTTCGTTCGGTTCAGATTCATTCTTGAAGCTCTTTGTACTTCGGTTGTTGTTGTTTTTCTAGTTCACTTGACACTTCTGTTATTGGCAGCACTTCACAGGAAAGAAAGGTGGGTGCTTATCTCGAGGGACTGTTTGAGATTCATTACTAACTGGAAATGAAAATAATTCCCAGCATTGCACGAAAATAAGACTTATTTTTAAAATAAGCGTGTTTGTAATTACGGTCTAGGAAGCCTTGGTCAGAACAATACGAGTCAGTTGCCAAGCTTCCGAATTTTGATCCCGCAACCCCGGGAATGCTGCGATGGGTGTGTGAAAAACGGTCCCCAGTCAGTTTGTTCAGTGCCAATCGTAACTCTGAAGGGTCACTAAATGAGACTGTTGTAAGTCGAGGACTACCTGCCTCGGGTTGAAAATGGCGGAATTCATAGGCTTTAATCCTCCTCTGCTGTCGTAATGACGTATCTCCCTCTTTTTGTTGTACTGTATTTCAGGTTTATTCAAGAGATCGAACACGCCTTGGGGTTCAGTCCCGCTAAGCAATGCCCCCTCCGAGAATTCCTCACCATCTACATTAAGAACATCTTTCTCAACCAAGTCCTGGGAGAAATTAACAAGGAAATCGAGGGTGTCACCAAAATTACCGACCCCCTGAAGATCCTGGCCAATGCAGACACCATGAAAATGCTCGGTGTGCAACGGCCTCTCTTGCAGGTAAGATGGTTGGCGGGAAAGCGGTGGGGGGGGGGGAAAAACCTTCCCAATTTCCCAGAGATAGTCCTTGACTTATGAATGTTCATTTAAGGACCGTTTAAATTTACAGCAGGCCACCCAAAAGCTGCTTACGATCTGTTTTCAAAATTATGTTGGCTGCACAGTTGCACCCCATGGTCATCAAATAATATAAATTTCACACACACACACACACACACACACACACACACACACACAAAATTAGAAATGCAACAATAATTAGAGAGCCTGTTTTGTCTAATGGTTAAAGCACCAGGCTAGAAACCAGGAGATGGTGAGTTCTAGTCCTGCCTTAAGAATGAAAGGCAGCTGGGTGTCTTTGGGCCAATCACCAGGGGACTGGGAATTATAGTCCTGCCTTATGAAAGCTGACTGGATGACTTTGGGCCAATCACCAGGAGACTGGGAGTTCTAGTCCTGCCTTATGAAATCTGACTGGGTGACTTTGGGCCAATCACCAGGCGATGGGGAGTTCTAGTCCTGCCTTATGAAATCTGACTGGGTGACTTTGGGC